CGGGAGAAAGGGAAGACATGCAGCAAATGGTCCTGAAACTGGAAATCAAACCCACAACCTTCGCTTTGAAACTACAGCCTATGCACATGACTGTACGAGCGCTCCAACACCGAACGCAACTTAGATGTTCTTAGAAGGTAGAGATGCGGTAAGATGATCTAGTCATTAAGAAATAATAGCGAAGGTGCTTTATTTCCAAAAGCAGCAGATTGTGACCAGAAGCAAGTAACACTGTTGATGTAACATTCAGCAATATTACTGAATACCATATGGTCTGAAAACCACAATATTTCGACTAGTCAGTCATGGCATGAAGTGCTCTGCATGCGACTTGTAAAATCTTCAGTAGATTTGTAAAAAAAAAAAAAAAAAAAAAAAATTGTTTGCTTTAAAATCTCATTTTACGGTATTATTGTCTCAAACCCCTAATCTGTGCTGCGTTTAATTTTCTTTGCAACAACGTGCCTCGTTTAGAACTTGTAGATGATTTAGGATGCCAAGAGTATGAAACGACAACCCTTTTTTTGTCCTCCTGCTTAATTAGTCCCTTTCCTCCTTGCTATTCCCCACAGAGCATTACAAACATACCTATAGACACGCAGAGGCATGATAACACACACTTTACTGTGACCAGAAAGAGGTCAGACTTGTAATCTTGTATGCACATCTTGTCACGCACAAAATATCTTGTCTGACTATCAGAAGTAGTTTCCCGCACTGCTGCACTACCAACAGATGGCCATTACCATACTGAAGCAGCGCGCCGATGAAGTCGGGGGCCTCTCTCTTTTCAGCACTGCAGTATGATATATGTGCTTTCCCCTTTGCTTATCATCAAACACTTCTCCTTTGTATGAGTAAAATGAGATTTTTAAGACGTTCCAGTGTTAATGAACGGACCTAGCATTCAAGTGAGTTTGAGTGTTTTGCTTCAGCCACGCCTTTGCTGCTTTAAACTCCTTTTCAGCGCTTGCAGAAGTTTCATAAAGTGACGATCAAGCTCGCCGATGACCAAGGAGAACAAAACTGAGATACTGCAGTGTAGCTGCGAGCTCTGATGTAGGTAGGAGAAAGAAAAGCAAACTGGGAGATAGAAGACGGAAGAACCAAAAAGGCATTCACCTTCAGTCCTGCTTTCAGTGCAACCTAAGGAGATAACGCAGGTAATGCAAACAGAAAGGGCCGTATTAACTGCCTGTGAAGCCAAAGAAGATGGTCAGCAATGATTCTCAACATGTCTCCTAACATAAATCCTCCAAGGGAGCCACCGGCAGGAAAAAAAAAAAAAAAAAGTCATGGGCGAATGTCCAGGCCACAGATGGCGCCATACACACAATGCACATAATGGTACATGTAAACGGCCTAGAGGAAACAGCATAAGCTCCATATGCATGCCTCTAAAATGTATCCCAAAACCTCTGAACCATTAAACTCGATGAAACTGTGTTATTTAACACCATTAAAATAAATTAGTTTTCATCTTGGGGAGTCTCGTCACAACATCTGTACCGTGGTACCGAGTTCCAAACCAGAACCAGATCCATACTCAAAATAGGAATTTTTCAAGAATATTCAGAAAGAAAAAACAATCGTGATGCTGCAAAAGATACTTTTTTAAAAATGCTTTTTACATATTTAATTGTGGAGGGTACTGTCTGATGCTTCAGACTTACTGAATTTGAGGTTGAAAATCCACTCACACCAGTGCCAGAAATTCAGACGTTTTATTTTTATTTCCCACATTTAAAAGTCTGCTGCAGCTGAAACTGTGGAGTGGAATGTCAAACTTGTTTGCTCTGTGATGTTTTTGGGTTTTTTTGTTGGTGTGGTTTGCATTCCGCTTGGTAAACATGTAATTTTTCTTTTTGCTTCCTTTATTCTTAGATTGTAGCACCAGATACATGCGGCTTAGGTCAGGGTTAGGTATTTGGCATTTTATGAAATCAAAGTGACACAATTGATCTTCAGCAGTAGGTTGAATGATCTCCTTTCTCACCTGTGCTGCATTCAGGAATCAAATACCTGGTATATTCACACTCCTCCCCGTTGTGCTCACGATACTTTCCCTTGTGTGTATTGTTCTGACTAAATTTTAAATAAATAAAATGAAAAACTTATTTTAATGTCATAACAGAACTGTGAAAGAGTATTTACTTCCTTAGCACACTTAGACACATGTTTATATTAAACAAAGAAAACCACAAATACAAAAAGCAAATAGTGAATGACACTAAAACAAAACCAGTTTATCAAAACCAACAACAATGTTTTTTCTATGAGAAAACAATTCCTTCATTTTTTATATCATAAATTAGCTGTGATAACATGTTTTTTGGTTGAGTTTCACTAGATCCCCCCCCAGGCCATATTACTTAAAAATGTCTAAGAAAAATGTCATGCAGAGATTTAAAAAAATAAAAAAACCTACTGAACCCTGAACCCAAACCAGAGCTTTCACTTGACATCATAAACAGCTAATCGTAACAGTCTCATTATTACAAACATAAGATTATTTCAGCTCAGTCTGAAGCCACACCATGACCTTCTGAAAAGTCTCGCTCACACTGTTACTTGTGGTCATGAATGCATGTAAAAAAAAAAAGTTTTCTGGGCGTCTGTAATACAACCATTTCTTATCACTGTATCATTTGCTGTAGATTAGCTTCATTGCTCATCAAAGTCGAGCAGTTTTGTGTAAATGGCATAAAAATAATAATCTAGATCATGTCAGCATACTACCACCGGCCTCTGTTCCCCCTCTTCCACAGCTCCCTGTCCGTGTTTCTGTGTGCCTGGCCATTAGACTTGTGAGTGGCCTCATGCTGTAAAATGCCATCCACTCTGATACGGCCGTGCTGAGGTCAGGTTGAACACGAACACAGCGCTGTGAGGCCACTCAGAATCACAAGAGAGCGGAGAGAGCCCAAGTGCTTGCTCCTCTGAGCTCTCCAGCAGATGGAATGGGACCACAGAGCGTTATAAGGCTTTCCCCAGTTTGCACATTTCACAAAGTTTAAATGGTACACAGCACCAGATTAATCAGTTTTACACAGAGTCATGTTTTTCCCCGCCACACTCCTCCTACAGACCATGAACTGATGTGGCAGCGCTATCACTTGTCATGCTGTTAGGATTTCATTTCAATTAGAAAATAAAAATGCAACAGCAAATTGCTGTTTAAGAGGGGAACAAAAAAAAAAAATCAGCAAGAAAAATACACTCACAGCTGTTTAATATAATAATGCATGCATCAAGCCGTACTCCGTCAAGCATGGCAGACTAATTTGTGTAGGCTGATTGTTCATGATACAAAACATTCTCTCAAAATGTATAAAAATTGCAAATAAGCGAGCTCGTCTGTGTGTGCATCTCTGGGATCGTTTGTACGACTGTTGTAGTGCAGGAGTCGCGGAGGCAGAGTTTTCAAGAGAGTCTGGTGAAATTAAGCCAGCGCAGAGAAAAGTAAAAAGAAGTCAACAATTAGCTGCCCTTACACCGCGGTGGTCGGTGCGCAAGAGTCAACCTCCAATTATACAAATGAAATTGAGCTTTAGTAATAGTCTACCACATCGGTGTGACAGAAGCAACAGTAATAAGAGGCAGGTCAGAGAAAGGAAAAAAACCGGCTATACTCATGTCTCAAAAGCCAATAAGCCTCGAATCCCATTTGATGCATTTCTAATTGCTACTGTTCTCTGCTATACTTTGAAATCCAACTGCTTAATCATAGCACCTTCCTCTCTGCTACCAGCCAGGCTGTAATTCTTTCCTGAGAAAAAATTATGCTCATGGCTAAAAAAAAAAACAACAAAAAAAAAAAAACACACTCCGGGTTTTGCTATTGTTGCCTCTGCTTCTCCGAAACCCGCAGCCTTCCCCTCTGGATTATGTGAAGGTTTCACGTTAAGGTCTCAGCTTCCTAAAGGGGAGGTGGGGGGGACAGCAGTATTATGTAAAATAGACTTTGAGCTTTACATCATGCTGTAACGTTATTCCTTCATCCAACACATTCTTGGAGTGTTGCTTTAATTCCTTCATGCATGTTTGAGAAATTCTTGACTCTCCCACTCTAACCATTTGGGGGGTGTGCCTAAGCGTTTGCTTTCTCAAAGCTCCTCCGAGGCGCTGCAGTCTCAGAGTATCCCTCTCCCAAGCCTTCCTCACTCAGCTCCTCCAGACTAGTGGCAGCAGCAATTAGCAAACGCCTGGTGGAACTGCAAGTCTGCTAAGCTCATCACAATAACTACTAGAAATAATGTTAACGGCTTAATGAAACGCATTATTGTGAGGCTGTGTCAGAGTAGGGGCTTCTTAAAGAGACAGGACAATTTCAAGGTGTCAGTTTACAAAGTCAGATTTCTTTAGTCATGTTGAATATATGCAACACTTTTATAACAACTGGAGATAATATAGTGACCTGAAAATGCCACAAAATGGGACAATGTGTTTGGAAAATGCATGCATTACCCCTTTAAGTCTGTAACACCTTGATGCTGTGTAACCCTCCTTTAAGAGTGTTTTTATCTCTTTTTGCATATTTACATTCCATCTATTAATGCAACACTTGATTACTTGCCTGCAAACCCCCTTGACAAATCAATAATTAAAAAGCTGTATAGGATGTTATCGAGTTAATATTCAGGCCAATGTCTTCCTAAGTCTTCAGGGATGCACATGCTTACGTTCTCCTTACAAGCTCCCAACAACAGTCCTCCAGCCTCCATTTTTTATTCATGTGCAACTTTTAGAAGCACTTGTTTGCTTCAAAAGCAAGTCAGAGCAGCTTCCAAAAGACAAAAACCATAACATTTCTAAAGGAAATATTTGCTGGCGTGCACAACCCACTTACATCAAATTTCTGTTTTCCGTCTCATCTTCATTTCCCAATTTGCTTTTGTAAAACCTCCTTTAGTATTCTGCAATCGCTTGCAATACCAAACATCCCGTGTGCTCGTATGGTTTCTGCTACATGCCCCGCACATATTTCAGCAAATGAATTCAGTTTTAAAGCTTTAATTTAATTTGAAACAGATGTACGGAGAGCCCGGAAAAAGCAATAACAATAATTAAAGTGAACAGTAAAGCCGAGAAGTGAAGAAAAGCAAAAACATAATGGACTGAAAGATCCTGAGACTGTGAAATCATTCATGTAGACAGGCACAGGATATTGAAATATTGATGTATTTGACATAAAAACACGTTTTGTGAGAGACACACTCTGGATTTTCCTAATAACCAGCTGCTAGAAACTGCAGCCGTCGCAGTCCCTTTATTTGCATGTCGTCATAGCCACAGGGCCGTGCACGTTGATGTTCGTCTGTCTTTTTACCTTCTGATTGCAGGGTGTGACCGGCAGGTGCGTTCTTTCAACAGGAGCTCATCAAATCCGATCAGGAGACGTGGATTCCCTGGGGGAAATCCCAGATGCTTTTACTCTCACAGGCGGTAATCAGGTCTACCAACTCTTTGCTTTTACATTTCCTCAATGATTTCTGTGCTTTTATTATCTCAGTTGACTAATTCCAACTTTGTGTTTTGTGTTATTCAGTCAGGATCTCCCCACAACAACCCACCATTACTCACCCACAAGTCTGTCTGTCCTCCAATGCTTGACCAGCTCATGAAACTCCTCCTGGAACAAAGAAACAGGACATTTCTAACCAAGCCAACCACCTCACCCTCATTTCATAACCACATCTCAACCCCATTTCCATTTCCCATATTTCACCACCTCAGAGTTATTCTTTGGCGTCAGTAATTATTGGGGACATGACATGCTGGCTATGACCGCAGCAGCTGGAAGGCCCATATGGAGGGACGTTCCTGTTACCTTTTTGGGCCTGGCTCGACTCCGCCACAGGAGCCAGCGTTCAACCATGAGTGACCCGATCAGGTCACTGCATTTTCCTCGTAAGCCTTACTTTTAACTGTTTGCTGCCATTTTCTTAATCTTTCCTACTGAAGAAGCTTTTGTCTGCGACTCTTACGACTTGCGTTGCATTTGCTTCTCCCAATAATTGTAACCAAATGTGTTATTCCTCCCGAGCAATTTCTCCTGCGCTGTTGTTAAGAGATGATTAGCATAATTTACTTCACCTGTGATTAGTCATTATGATCCCACCTGCTTTCCCTTCCACACCTGATCGGGTCACTCACGGTTGCATGTTTCCGTCACTTCTCATTATCAGGACAGCAGAAGCAAAGAGTCCAAATGTAGTCACTGATCAGCTTGTGTAACCCAAGGATGCAGCAATCATCTGCTGACACCGGTAGATAATTCAGCACACTTTGCAGCAAAAGCCCTGAAATGGTTTGCCGAGAGGCGCTGAATTAACTAAAGTGGAAATTACATAGCAACAGGTTTTATTGCGACTTTAATGGCACAGCCGACGGCAGCTGGGCAAAAACGGTGACGTTCCCGTCTCCCTCTGCATGATCTCCGTTTCCTTGAATGATCTAACATATATATATTTAAAGAGGCAGACACTTTTGAGGGCAGGATCCTTCTTTAACATGGCCACAGAATTCAGTTACAGCCACCGACTTTTGCTTTGAGGCACGGAAATAAATATGTGTACAATGAGTTGTACTCTGCAGTGCATAGCACATGCAGTATTTGTAAAAACAAAAAAAAGTAGTTACAATCGTGATTAACTGCTTTAATTATGTGTCACTACTTGACTCTAACCAATCAATTCTGAGAACAATTTAAATGTAAAACCCTGTGTTCACTTATACGGTATCAAAACTTTTTAAAAAGTCCACATGATTCTGGATCATACTTCCTTCAATTAAATATTTACTGCATATTTGAAATGGAGCAAATTATTATTTTTTTTAAAAAAACCATTAAAACAGGTTTATTTCAAAAATATTTTTAAGATAACTGATTAATTGAACTTAGTTGTTTCTGTTCTCAAGAGGCACAAACTGTGATTTTCCTCATTTGAATTTGACAAAGATGTGCAGTCCTGTAAAAGAGGCACATGAGAAGTAAAATACACGCTAACAACGACGAGAGAAAATCAATTTGTCTACTTGACTTTTCTGTTTGTTAGGGGGTTTTTTTTATGGCAATGACACATTTGTATAATCAAAATCACTGAATTTAAGCATTATGCACGGCAGGAGTCCGGTGTGAAGTCCGCGCTTCATCGGTAAAGAACTGAAAACGAGGGACTTGGAAGTTTGACGCTGTCAATGGACATATTTTTCTTTTTCTTTTATCTCTTTGCACTTTTGTGCAGCTGAAAACGATGCCTAATGTTTCATAATGAGATCAAAGCTGACTTCAGAACAATATGCAGCCATGACAGGAAAACAGGTGTTTGGAGACACGGTGACATGTCAGAAAAGGACAAACATTGTCCTGACAGCCACGAACAGCTGGTCTGTGCTGCGACACCTGTGTGCCCACCCAGCATTGTGTAGGATCTCTTCGCTACAACCTTCACTCAGGCTTTGACAAATGAACCAAAGTCATTACTGTTTACCATAGTTTTTTACCTGGAAGCACTGTGACTTGAATTATATTGCTTCTTTTGCTCTCTACATTGATTTTCTGCAAGGTGAAAAGCTCCATTTTCTGCACCTTTCTCACACTGCAGCAATTATTAAAGCCAGCTGACTCAGTCAGTATCTGGGTTAAAAATGAAGATGTGGCAGTGCTCGCTGTGTGTTAAACGTGTCTAAAGAGCCACCACAATCAGATCAGTCCTGCAGAAGAAATGGGCCTAATCAGAGTGTTACAGCAGTATTAGCTAGTGCACACATTGTGGAGCAAAGATTTCAGACTTCCTATAAAAACTTTGCATCTGTAGGTTGAACTCAGCGGTTGCTTAGTGATTATGAAGATTACCAAGTAGGAGCTCACCGGCAAAGTCTCTTAGCAACTGCAGTAAACAAGTGTGCAGGTATAAATAGACCTTTATAACTTAGAAGTTTTATTGTTTGTCAAATCTAATTGAGCGCCGGCAACGTTCTTGGTAAAACTGTGCAGAAGGAGTGACATAATAATGATTTTCAATATTTGCTCTTAGAAATTCTTTTGTACAAGAAAGCAGGACGAAACTTTTGAACAGATGCTCACACATACATTACGGCTCATCTTGACCTCCTTAACGACTCTCTGTGATGCAGAGAAAAAGCCGAACACTTTCAGCAGAAACGCCGCCATGGTTACTTGCTGTAAGTTTACTCTAGGGAAAAAGAGAAACTCTTAAAATAATCTCAGTACACACAATGTGTGCTGCTTTGTTTTCTCTGCTGGAATGCCGGGTTCCTTCAGGGCATCCTCTTACCTGAAGTCATACTTTAAAGGGCAAAAAAAAAAAAAAGAAAAAAGTACTAGAACCTTTTCAAGTATGAAAAGGATGGAAGGTTTGATGTTTAGGAAGGAATTACCAACCATTTTTGAATAATTTTACAGAGTAATTCTAATAGAGTGTTGCCATTACATATTTTTTGTTGTTTTGAAGCATTTGGTTTTTTCTTTAGTGTTTTATAAAGCATATTTTGGCATGTTGATTACGTACAAGCAATAAGATGTCCTACAGTATAAACAGCCATAGTGTTAAATGTGTTAAAGAGAAATGTGCACAGTCTCTCCTAAACAATTACACTTTTCATCAATTGTGTCACGAGCCTTCCTAAATCAAAAACATGATTAAAGCATACATTTACAGAAGTCTAAATATTGGACCTGCTTGGTTTGATTTGGTGAACATAGAAAACAAATAACAATTTGGCCTTTGGCACTGAAAGAGAAAGCAATACATAAATTCTTCTTAAAAGATGAAATGTGCCTTTAACTTATAAAAATTAATTCTGACTTCGTGCTTGAATCTTTCAAAGCCTGTGTGACTTTAGCAAATTTGAATATTTTTCTTTCGCGAAGGCAATGTAATGAGGAGAAAGAGCTGATCACCCTCTTGAGTTTTTCTTCTTTCATATTTCAAAAAGAGAGTGAAATAAAAGGTTTTGATAAACAGCTCTCAGTTTCTCAGAAAAACCATTGAGGTTTTAAGAACACTTTTTAGAACAAAGCACTGTGCTGGAAAATAAAATAAAAAAAAAAGAGGCAAAGGCAAAAAAATAAAAAATAAATAAATAAAGGGAAAAAAAAGAGAGAGTCCTTGGGGTAACCAGTTTTTAAACCATCTTACCAGCCCTGAACCTGGCCTATAAATAGTTCATTTTCAGGCTCAAACTCTGCGGTCCATGGACGTCACAGTCGGACCGGACCTGGACGGGTCCCGCATTACAGGGGAAAGCACTTCCACTGCAGCTCCTGGGAACCTTTACTCCTGCCGTGTTTTTCTCCTATCAGATTGGCCACCTGTGGACTGATGAGAGCGGAGATTTTCTTTCTCTAGGCTTATTCCTGTAGGGTGAGCACTACAGAAATGTTTCACGGAGGTGTCGTTCTTGATTTGATCAGAATTTGACAGATTTATGCGGCGAGTGTATAATTAGACACTTTAGCAAATATCTCCTTGAGACTGACGAAACAAAATTATGCTTTTCTTCTCTGGAGAACATCGATCAAGCCGCGTCGTCCTTTCACCCGTTTAATAACAGTCTTATAAATCTGTTGGGTAGCAGAGTTTCTCCGTCAGCCTGTATTCAGTCCACTGGTAACCAGCAGCGGCACTGGCCACTAGGTGGTTGTAATCTTGACCACTTCCATTCCTGCTTTAGGTTTTAATTCAGATGTGCAACAGCATCCTAATATACGCCTAGCGACAGATCGTTGTCAAGATGGAAGGACGCTCGTTGTTGCCATGGCTTTATGGCTGTTTATTCAGACCGCTAAACCTCACTAAGATTTGTTAATTTTCTTTCCTTATTTATTTCTATTTACATCACAAAATAATTAATTTACAATTTGAGTGTTTAATCATTTATGCTGATCCAAATGGCATCTTCTTAGGCACAACTCTCTACCCAGACAGTGAAAGGCCAGACTTTGGTTAGCCATATGTCTAGTAATCATGACAGCTTTTTCTTTTATTTAAGTTTCTGCCACTCACCGTGAAACAAGTAAAGCAAGCTAATTGTTACCTGGGCCTGGAAACAGTTTTATTTCCACCACAGTGTGTCAAGTGTCCAATCTGAGCTGCTCTGGACCGTATTTGATTTATTAACTTAAGAATTTGCAGGCCAAATGCTATGAATTAAACACATCTCCAATGGCGCAACCTTGCGTTTATTTCACTCTACCCGCATCGAGGGGCGAATTCACAAACCTGTGTATTTTCTTCACTACCTGCTTTATGTTTGCACCCAATGGATTGTCCTAAACTCATTCTGACAAAAGCAAGCAGTTTGCAACCTGTTTTGTTTCAGCTCACACTTAAGACAAAATAAGATTGAAACATCTCTTTACAGTGTATCAAAACGGGCTTGTTTACAGCTCGATTTTTTATTTTTTATTTTAATAATTGCAAAAGGATATTTAGATTTTATCGGTGTTGCAGAGTTTGAACTAGTGCTCCACCTGTCCTAATTTTTTCCCTTCCTTCAGCGAGACCCATAAGGTCTCCTCTCACGTATGGAAACGCCACCTGATGGGACAGCGATTCCTAAGTGTGTCTCGTATGTCTCCACATACGCTTCTCAGACGCTGTGCATGCAAACCATGTGTGATTTTTGACAAATTCTCATTTCAAAACTTTACTAATGTTAGTCCTGAGCTTTGCGAGATTCTTTGTGCAAAGGCCCTGAAACCCATTTGATTGGTGGATGAGTACCCAGCCTGTATATTAGTTAGACTTTGTTTCGGCTAGGTGCCTCTAATGCCTTGGCGTGTCGGAGCCTTTTTATCGAGTGGTTGGAGAATTGTGAAAAATCAAACAATTTCACACCACTTTGGAAGGAGAAATTTACTGTTGTAATCCGGATTAGAGCTTGCAGTGAGACGAGTTGCCATTTCTCATTAGGATTCAGTGTGCCATGTGGCCTGCCGCAAACAAAAAGGCTAAACCACCCATCAGACATCCACTCAAAATGAAGTAATCACTTTCTTCTTTTTTTTTTTTGGAAGAACTACCAATTCTTTTCAGGATTACGCTTTAAACCTGCCGAAAATGTGAACAACGTCCTGATGAATTTGCAACCTTTAGTTTTGTTCCACTGCCTCCGTGTGGATATAGGATGGGTCAAAAGTCACAGTCACAGGTCATAAACTGGCCACAGTATTTATGTCCGTTCTGCGGTCCGTGTTTTAACATGTCAACACAAACGAGGCAAGATGGATGGTCTGTTGACAAGGGTCGTTTATCACTGCATCCTCTGCGTACTTCTCTCCTCTGCCACACTGTTCAAGGTTTCAAAGCTCTTCTTCTGGCCTGTATAGAAACGTATGAAGGCCACAGGTGATCCTAACAGGTGCTGTTGGAGTCGGAGGTGAATTACATGGCAAAACAAATGAAACCAGCAGGAAATCATCCTGGAAAAGAGCTGATCAAGCTCTTATTAACGTTAGGATTAGTTCCATTAAATACTGGGACAGGAAGGGTATTAACTCAACAAACAGAGAAGAAGTTGCAATTTTTTTTTTTTTCACAAGCTTCCAAAATCTTAAAAATGATAATTTCTAAATGTTTTATGCATGATTTTATCTGGTCACCTTCATACATGTCTTACCTTGTGCGACATCTCATCGGTAATCTATTCTTAATTCTTTACAGGTTTAACGATTCCAAGTCTTTTGGGTATTATTTGTTCAGGGTTTAGGAATGGCTTTACGGGAATTTTTGACCATCCTTCCAGAAACTATTTTGACGTTGAGCTGGCTCATGGTCTCCTCTCTAATTCATCCCAAACGTGTTCTTTCAGGTTGAAGTAACGACTATTCATGTTCATTTAGGACAGATGATCTTATCCACGTCTTTAAGCATCTCGCTTCCCTCCCAAAGTTGGTGACATCAGTTCATCCAAGATGCTTTGGCGTGCTAAGTCGTCAAAAGCTCCTTTCACTGTAGCTCTTGGAAAAACACAGATCACCATGACGATCTGCTCTGCATCAAAGTTTGTAGTTGACTCAGTACAGTCAAGCAAACGCTGCTCCCCTGGATCCTGCCGAAACCAGGCGGATTGTCAGACAAAGAGACGTGATTTGTCACTCCTAAGAACACGGCTGCACTGCTCTATGATCCAGTGGCGACACTTTGCATTGCTCATTTTGATGTAAGGCTTGGATGCAGCTGCTCAGCAATGGAAACCAGTTGCATGAAGCATCATATAAACTGTTTTTGTGTGACTCTGGAGATCTGTTGCTATGGATTATGCAGAGAGTCTGTGATCTCCGTGCACCAAGAGGGTTTAGCTTCCTCTCTCGTAGTTGCTGCAGTTCTATCACCTTTAGGAATAGTCTGAATACCTAACAGTCTGAATACCTAAAAAGCTATTGCTTGCTTATTGTAATGCATTCATTAAAGATATTCCTCCAGCTGCAGCCCATAGCGTTGTAGTAATTCCTACGGTCAGGGAGCAATATTGCAGGGACATTATTCTGCTCCTTGCTGGTTTCATGTAACTGGATCTGCTACTGCGGTATTGCGTTTAATCATCCACCGCCTGCTTACTTCTTCTCTCACCATACATATTTACAGTACCGAATGTAATGTAGTTAAATAATGGCTCTTTTTTTCCTTTTAATAAATGAGAGAACAATGATATATGCATATATGTGTGTGTATGTAAACACAAGCACATTTTTCAAGTAATATACTTGAAACGTATTTATTTCCGTTAAGTAATTCACGGAAATGAAAAAGCAAACTTTAGGATTCTCACAATTAATGAAAGATACTTTCAACAAAGAAAAACAAACTAATATGTGGATGGATAAATATGCAGTGATGTGTTTTCAGGTAAGTGTATGTTAAAGGGGGTTATAAATGTGTTTCGTTGTGAACCAATTAATTATGTTTGTTTAAAAAAATAGAATAAAATTTTTGTAAAAATTGCTAAAAGTTCAAAGACAAGATGCAAAATTGGCACAAAACACAAGCAGGACATTAATGCCTAATTTTGCAGTGAAAACTGAATGAAAACTATCAGTAATGTGTCTTTGTTGTGCACGGGGTCTTAAAATGTGCTGGAAGTTTGCAAGGTAAGGTAAGGTAAGGTAATTTTATTTATATAGCACATTTTCAGCAGCAAGGCAATTTAACAACACTCACTAACAGATCATTAAAAAAGGTTAATCAATGGACTAGACCAGGTGTGCTCAAAGTGTGGCCCAGGGGCCGTTTGCA